GGGGCTTCAGGCATTTTGTTCATAGGGTCACTATGAGTCATGCTTGACTCTAAGGCAATCACAACAACAACATATCATGAATGAGATATGGATGGGGCCTGGTTTGGATGGAAGGGAAAAGAAGTGAATAAAAAAAGGCAAACAGGTAAATTGAGGGGATTGTTTTTGTATTGTAATTGTAATATTGTAAATTGAGTATGGCCAGATTGTCAGCCTCTTAAATCATGCATTTAGTATGCTAGCTGTGGCTTATCAGGAAATTAATAAAGAACTGTTGCTGTTGTTGTTAAGTACCGTCAAGTTGCAGGCGACTCATAGTGACCCTATGAAGGAGCTTGAGTATCTCTCATCCTCTCTCCAGGTTCATAGGGTTTCCGGAGGCAAGCTGTTGGCGGAAGTGGTTGCCACTCCTCCTTCCAAGCTTGTTTTAATCAGGGAGCTCCACCTCACTCTCTGTCAGCCATTAACGCATTTGACACACATCAGTGTCACAGGGTTCAGCCTCACAGGAAGCACAAGTTACCGCTATACAGCAACTTGTACACCAGGGCTATACGACTTAGTGGAATGTCTGAACAAAAACAATGACAGACAGGCCTGAGGGCCACAGATTAAAAGTCGCCCACCTTCGGTTTGGTAGCATCGCCTTCTGTCCACTGTATAATTGAATAAAAAGTAAATAGAGGAAACCTCTAAGAATAATCTACAGATGAAGGAATTTGGCTGTAATATTTGAACTGAGCCTATTTAGATGATCCCTTACAGACTAGAAAAGAATGACACCAAGATAACCTAATAAATCTACATGATAATTTCTGGGGATTTTGTGTGTGTTTTCTTCTCATATTGGTAATTCTATGAGTGACATTTTTTTTTTCTTTCACCATTTCGGCCACTTAACAATGAAGTGAGGGGTAGAATGAAATCACTGGTGGAAGGAAAATCACTGCCATAGTTTTGGGTTAAAGAATTTTTGCTATTATCAACCTAGTCTTCTATGCGTAACTTCTCAAAAGAATCTAATGGTTTGTTATCTTGGTTTCAATTCCACCAAGATTTTCTGAGCATGAGATTCCTTTAAAAAGCCTTGGAATACCCCATCTTTTCAGGATAGGTTAATGGTGAGAATAGTCCAATACAAAACATAATGTCAATGAATTATGAAACATACGCAATACCCAAAACACTATGTACATGAATGAAACACAATGTATGTGAATAATTATATGCCAAGAATAATATGGAGTTGGAAGGAAAGCCTTGGAATATACTTTACAGTGAAAATTCAAAGTGTAGCTCAGTTTTTATGACAGGAACAGTATTAGGAGAGAAAGTGGATTTTCATGTTCAGTTTAAAGGTTCTCAGTCTATTATAAAGAGAATCTGTACCTAGGAAATGTAAAGTTATTGTTGTCCTTACCTTAATGAGACAGAAAATTAGAATGAAAACTATCACTATTGCCGTCACAGATAATGCGAAGGAGACAATGTAGAGATAGTTATATTTTTTCTTTTCTTTTGTGTGCTGAAATACAGGAAGGAGAAAATAAAATTAAGAACAGATGAAAAAGACAACATCTATTCCATTCCCAACCCAACTTTTCCAAGTGAATCTAGATAACAGAGTCATAAAGTATCATTATTAAGGGCACTTCTTGTACAGTTTGTGTACAAACTTCTAGAATAGTGGTTCTATCCTTTAAATGAGGAAGCTGTGGTAGCTTAGTGGCAAAAAGCTGTGCTGTAATCACAAAGGCATGTGGTTTGAGTCCACCAGCTGCTCTGTCTGGAGAGAGATGAGCAGTCTCCTCCTGTGCAATTAACTGCCTCTGAAAATCCACAGGAGGGTCAGCTGTGGGTCGGTTCCTAATCAATGATACACAACAACAACAACAACAACATCCCTGAAATGAGCCAAGCGGGGAGATGATAGTCTTAGCTCGTCACTTGGCTAAGGTGAGCTATGGAGCAGGAGCATGCGCATTTCACGCGCAAGTCCTAAAGGCTCACGGAAAGGTCTGGGACTCATCTTTCTGGAGATGTTCTCACCTTATCTGTCTCCTGCGCTTTTGATTCACTCCGGATTTCTGTGTCTTCCTTATTTACAAGGTTAGTTTTCCATTGTTCCGTGTCTGAGCCTGTCTTAGCCATCTTAGCTTCTTGCTGCTCATTCAGAAGCTTTAACAGGAGGCCTGTTCTGGATAGGAGCTTGGCACAGGCCAGCTGTGCTTCAGGCTGAGAGCAGTCCATTTTTAAAGTCCGGACAACATGGGAAAGCAGGGTCCTCACATCGTTGTTGGGGATGACAGGCTGTAGCTCTTGATTGAGCTGAATTTCATACCTGTCCCTTTCAGACAGGAGCATTGGGATATTGGAGTCTTCAGACTTGGGGGGTATGTCAGTACCTGTGTTATGATACTCCCACTGAATGTCACTGTTTTGTGTAACAACAGAATCAGCAAGGGAAGGCTTCCTGTGGACAGAACTTTCAGGTCGAGTTTCAGTTAAAACAGTGTTTCCTGGCAAATTCAGATGTCCTGAAGACAAAAAAGAATTTTGTGGAGCTGAATTGATGAGGCTCTTAACTGACAAGGAAGGCAATGTTTTAAGCATCAGATTCCGGGGCGAATCTGCCTTTCTGAACTTTCTCTTCTTTTTCATCTCACGCAAGTGAGATTTATGGTAGATGTGTGATTTTGGGGGATATGCCATTTGTTGAGGAGCCTTCATATTTCTAACCATTTCACTTGCATCTTCTAAAACATAAATGGGGTTGGCCAAGTCTTTCCCATGGTTTCCAAGCTTGGCTGGGTCTTCGGAAGAAGGAAAGGAGGAAGGCCCGCCCATTCTATGTTTTTTCAGCCAAGAAGCGATTGCTGCCTTATTTTCCTTGTTGAATGAAGGCTTCATATCAAAGGAGATCTTCTCTGTCCTCCTTGGTTCCTGCACTTTTTGCTGTTCACTGTGAGACAGCTCACTGAGGGCTGGTCTCGTGGGCGCCATTGCTGTGGGGGCGCTCTCCATTAATTGCCTGGATTTGTGATGCCCCCTGATGCTCTGCCTCTTCTCCATAACATGTGGGACTCTCTTTCTTTTCAGAATGTATATTTTACTCGACTTTCTCCAAAGTTCTGTTTGCTGAGGCTTTGACTTTAGGCTTTCCACGTGCTGAGCACTTCTTAAATTCTTTTTACCTAGATAGCGTTTAAATTTGTCCCCTGAAAAGTTGGGTTGTATAAGAGTGGAAGGTTTTTCTTTTTTCTTCTCATCAATATTTTCTTGAATTTTTGCATCTATAAAATTTTCCAAAATATAGACATCCTGCAATTTGTTTTTGTAAACTGAATTGTCCAGAGCAGGCTTAAGAGGTAATTCGCCTTTGTCATTCTTCAAATCAGTTGAGACCTTATTTCTGTGTGGATTGTTGGTTAAAAGCAGTTTAATGACTGGTGATAATGCCAACTCTGTATCTTTAAGATTTCTCTCTGCGAGATAAGGCAGCATGTAATTTAGTGCATAAATGACATTATTTTTGTCATGAAAGTCTAATTGTTCTTTTAGGAGAGTTGACAATGTGACACCACTTCCATCAGAGAGTGGTTTTTCTGGCTCAATAGTCAGCTCAGTGCTGTGACTCTTCTTCCGTGCTTTCAGTGCCTTCATGAATGTTCCGTCTTTAGCCATTCGAAAGGCTTCTTCACCTGTCAAAACAGAAGAAACTGTTTGATAATGAAAGATTGATGAGACATGTTTTTGTGAATGCATAGGCAAATCCCAGATGAGAAAATTAGCAGTCAACAACCATTCGAGTGCCATTTAAACTCAAACATAAGTTATAACGAGCAACAACAGTGTTCTAGTATGAAAAAGTGGCTACCTACTTAGGATATTCCACAACGTGAGAAAGAGTGATGGCCTAGTGGTTAAAGAGCTGCACCAAAAACCTAAATGCATACAAGTTCTAATCCATTTTGTATTCCAAGGAAGAATTATGAGCTTTCTCCTCCTGGTTGTTTTAAAGCCTCAGAAATCCTGTTTAAGGATCATTTAGGAGGTAGTTCTGATTTAAAAGCATATAACAACAATGCAATTAGGATGATATAGCCTTAAAGGAGAGCACACAACAACAATGTATTTAGGATGATATAGCCTTTATGGAGAGTGGTTAAACACTCAGTTACTAACCAAAAGACTAAAAGTTTAAAAAAAAAAAAAGACTAAAAGTTTAGCAGGTGAAATCCACCTCCCCCTTCATCAGAATAAGATGTGGAAAAATACTTTCTTATAGATTTATATCTTTCCAGCAATAAGCACTTTTATATTTAAACATTTAAATAAAATAAAAAAAGACATATTTGGACACACTGTTTCCAGGATTCTTCTATAAAAACTTTTGCTAAACACATTCAGTAATGATCACTGGGCACTATGCAGTTGGTGGTGGTGGTGGTGGTTAGTCGCTGTCGAGTATGAATCATATTGAGTATGAATCATAGTGAATTTATTTAAAAAAGATCTAGCCTAGCCTAGCTTATCCAACAGAGATCTACTCTGCCCTCTCCTGGGCCAACCTCACAATCTGTGACACACTTGAGCGCATTGCTGCAGTCACTGTAGTAGTTGACCTGGTTGAGGGTCCTCTCTTTAACTGTCTCTCCCCTTTTCTGAGCATGTTGTCCTCCAAGAATCAGCCTCTCCTAGCAACATTCCCAGTCGGGGAGAAAAAGAGTCACCATTCTTGCTTCCAAGGAACAATCTAGCTTCACTTTTTATTCCAATACAGTTCTGTTGGTTTTCTAAGAAGACCATGATATTCAGTACCCTCTTCCAATGCCACAACTCAAAGGCATCAATCAGAATACTGATTGGATAGGTATGCAGAGAGGACACAACCTTGATTCATGCCTTTCTTAATTTTAAATCATGCAGTTTTCCTTTGCTTTTATGCTGCACAACAGCTTTTAATCTAGGCATAGGTTTTGCATGAGCAAATTTCCATTCTTCTCAATGTTAGCCATGTTGTTGTTGTTGTTGTTGTTGTGTTGGTGAGTTGTATGTGACTCATAGCAACCCTATGTACCACAGCTCTGAACACTGGCCTATCATGAGGTAATCTCATTGTGTCTGACACACCTACTCCCATTACCCCAGCCAGTCAATTCAATGTAAGCAATTATCCTTATTTGTTTAACAGACCTATTTACTTTCTTTCTGGTTACCTAAGTTTATAAACTTAACATCATATATTAAAAACAAAGTTGCTTCCTAAAACTGCCTTGAGCTTCTTCAATATGTAAAAATTCTGTATTAAACCAATTATATTTCCTTTATTTCCCCCATTTCAATGTTGTATCCTAGATTTCCTAAAATCTATTTTCATGTACTTTGCTTTATTCAGGTGGCTGTTTGATGTCACTATCCTCAGTTACTGATTATGTTAGTTTCCTTTCTGGAGGACTCTTTTTAATAGTTATTACAGGACAGATCTATGGGCTAGATAGTCCCTTAATTTCTCTTTATCTGGGAATCTCTTAACTTCACTCCCATTTTTGGTTTTGTTTTTTTAAAATTTTTTTTTCACTCCCATTTTTTAATGAGAGTTTTGCTGGGTATATTATTCTTTTAAGACTTTGTATATATAATTCCATTGCCTTCTTGCCTATATAGTTCTAGAGAGAAAAATGAGCACTTACTCTTACTTAGACCCCTTTGTATAAGATATTTTGGTTTTTTTGAACTGTTATCAAAATTTGTTATCTTTCATTTTAGAAAGCTTAATTATAATATATCATGGTATATATCTCTTAGAATTGAACCAAGATGGGATTTGTTAAGCTTCTTCAATTTAAATCTTGTCTTTTACAATATCTGGAAAGTTTTCTGCCATTATTTCTTAAAATTTTTTTTTCTGACTTGCCTCATTCCTTTTTGAACTTCCATATTATATTGTTTATTGTTAATATTATAGTTTATTCCTTTTCTTGATAAGTGTCCTGCGAAACTGTTATGTCCTGTTCTGTTCTCTTTGTTCTTTCCACTTGTTCTTCAAAATGCATAACCTCAGTTTTGCCTTCTATGGCACTGACTCTTTCTTCCACTGCTTCAAATATTTGCACATTCTTTCATGGTGAAGTTTATTTCTGCTATTTTATCATAAAGCTCTGGAATTTCTAACCGTTTTTTTTGTTCTTGTTTGTTTTCCTGAATTCTTCTAAAACAAGTTCTGTATTTTCCTTTATTTTGTTGAGAACACTTAATACTAGTTTTTTGACCTTTTTGTTGGGAATTTCATAGTAATATATGCCTGAAATATTGGGCTTGCTTTTCATTGGAGGATACACAGTCACAATGACTTCAAAACCTCCATATGTTTGACAGTTCCGACTAAAAGTTTCTTGTCATAATTTGTCTTTTCAGTAAGTGACCTCTCAGGCAATCCCAATTCTCCACTGCTGCTAGAAGAAGTTAGAGTCAGCACTATGGACCGACGGCTTCACTTGATCTCTGCTGCCCCTTAATGGTATAGACTTGGAGAAACTGGATGGCTGAACAGTGGAGGGACCCTGATTAATGTAGCTCAACATGCATCCTACCACCTAAAGGCTGGTGCTGTGGTTGCCTCTGATGTCTGCCTGCATTCCTCACATGGGTATGTTCATTCCAGCACTGACCTCCAAAGCAGCACTGGCATTGAAGGAAGAATTTAAAAATAGCCTTGGAGACAGTTTGCTACTGAGTGACCTTTCCTCTGCACACTGGAGAAAATTCTAAAGCAACCAATATTGTTCCTTGACCATATGATATTTCCTGAAATATTTCAGTGTCCACCAGTTTTTTTGGGGACAGTAATTCTATATTTCCTCCATCTTCTTTTATTGCCTCCAGGATCAGCCAAGATTTTCCCCATTGTATCTCTCTTGTATTTAACTCAAGATTTGAGTTTGTTTTTCAGTTCTTTAAGTTTGAGAAATGCTGAGTGAGTGCTTACCATTTTATTCTCCAATTGTAGGTCTCTGCAAATTCTCCTGTAATAGTTTGCTTTGTGTTCTCTGGTTGCCCTTTAAAACCTTCTGTTCAGCTCATTTACTTCAACGTCTCTTCCCTTGGCTTTGGCTTTCTGATGCTTTAGGGTAATTATCAGGGTTTCTTCTGACATCCATTTTCGTTTTGTCTTTCTCTGTCTTTGTAGTGACCTTCTGCTTTCTTCATGGATGATATCCTTGATGTCATACCACAGCTCATCTGGTTTTCCAAAATTAGTGTTCAGTGCTTCACACATCTTAAGATGACTTATTTTTAGGTGAAAACAGTCATCTAGTTGGTATACCCAAAGTATTTTAATAGACTGTATAAAGTTCTGGAGTTGGAGAACAAAAAGGGAAAAATTCACACAGCATTTCTCAACTTTAGATAACTTAAAAAAATTAATTGCACTGCTGAGAGACTCTATGGGAAACAACTTGAAAGACTCAGGAAACGTCACAAGAAGATGAAGGGATTAAGCAGTCATTGTATTGAAAATAATTGATTGTCACTATTCTGAGGGCCTAGGGTGTGCAATCCCAAAAGCATTTGGTTCAAATCCATCAGTGCTCTACAAGAGAAATCGGAGCTATCTCCTCCTATGCAATTTATTGCCTCTGAAAACCCAGTGAAGGGTCAGCTATGAGTTAGTTTCAAGTTGATGGAAACAACAACAAAACAACAGTGTATGATAGAGAGTTAATGGTGAGCAGGAAAGATTTTAAGCTGCACTGAGGCACTGGGGGGCTGGGGGGGGGAAAGCCCCAGGATCAATGGGATACCAAATGACATGTTTCAACTAACAGATGCAGCCCTGGACATGCTCATGAGTGTGTGCCAGGGAAAAAAAAAAGAATGGAACATAGCTTCCTAGCCAATTGACTAGAGGAGATCCATGTTGGTTCCCATTCCCAAGAAAAGGAACCATCCACTGACAGAGAACTATCACAATTTCAAGTGGCATTTGGAAGAGGCCATGGCATGAGGAATATCATTGCTGATAAAAAATACATATAGGCTGAAAGCAGAAAATATGAAAAGAATGTATATATGTATTTTATTAGTGATGGAAAGGCATTTGACTGTGGATCACAACAAAATATGATTAATGCTAAGAAGAATGGGAATTTCAGTACTTTATTATGGTTATATGAAATCTATACCTAGACCAAGAAGCTGCTGTCTGAACAGAGCAAGGTAACACTGCACTGCTTAAAAATCAAGAAAGGTGAGCATCAGGGATAATTATTTCTCCATACTTACTCAATCCGTATGCTGAGCAAATCATTCAAAAAGCTGGACTTTAGGAAGAACAATGTGGATCAGGATTGGAAGAAGACTCATTAACAACCTATGCTAAGTAGATGACACAGTCTTGCTCTCTGAATGCGAGGAGGACTTGAAGCATTTGCTGCAGAAGATCAAAAACTGTAGCCTTCAATATAGATTCCACTTCAACATCAAGAAAACTAAAAAAACCTCACTACTGTGTCAATCCCTTTTGGCCTGGAGTTAATTATGTTTAGAATGAACATTCTTCTAAGTGGTACAACACTGGTCAGTCACTTTGATCTATTGAGGTAACTGGAGTTGCCGTGATACTGAACTCTGTGACACTAGTGTGTCAAATGCCATAATGGTTACCCATGGTGGATAGTGTTTGGTGGAGCTCCCAGATTAAGACAGGTTTGGAAGCAGAAGTGGCATCCACTTCCTAAACAGTATGTTCTGGAAACTCTATGAACTTAGAGAAATGACAATATTTACAGAACAGAGTTCAAGTCTTTTGTTCATAGGATTGCTATGAGTCTTGCTCTAATCAATGGCACTTAAGAACAATAACAACAACAGGCCCAAGAGGCAACTTCAGGTAGATGAGAAGAGACTGAAATTGTCAACAATTTCATCTACTTGAATTCACAATCAACACCCTTGGTCCCAGCGGTCAAAAGATCAGGACATGTATGGCATTGGGAATGTTGCCTGTCAGGGACCTCTGTAAAGTCTTGAAGAGCAATGGTGTTAGTTTAGGAGCAGTGATGTCAGTTTAAGGACTAAAGTCACCTGATTCACACCATGGTCTTTCCAGTGACCTGCTCTGCATCTGAGAGCTGGATAATGAATAAGGATGACATAAGAATACATCTCTTCCAGTCAGCTGCCCAGGTAGCTACCTTCCACATTTTCTGGCACACACTCATGAGCATGTCCAGGGCTGCATCTGTTAGTGCAGACATGTCAGTTGGCATCCCATTGATTTCAGGGGCATTTTTTTGTAAATTCCTTTGAACTGTATGTTGGAGAAGAGTGGGGAATATCCCATGAACTGCCAATAGAACAAACAGTTATGTCTAGAAGAAAGTACAGCCAGAATGCTCCTTGGAGGCAAGGACACAGAGCTTTGTCTCACATACTTCGGGCATGTTATAAAGAGGGGCTATTCCTTGGAAAGCAACATCATGCTTGGAATCATGAGAGTCACAAAGGAGAGGAAGACCCTAACAAGATGGATTGACATAGTAATTGTAGCCGTGGGCCCAAGTATATCAGAGTTGATGAGGATCACACAGTATAAGACAGGTTTCAGATCTCATGTGGTTCTCCACGAGTCATACTCAACTTGATGGCATATAACAATAACAACATCATCCAAGTGGTGAAGGGATTTTTAATTTGCCATGTTTCATGCCTATATGAAAGGTCAAGAAATCTATAGGGTAATATGGTTTCAGGACAATCATTATTTGAAGTCCTAACTACAGAAGGGAATAAGCAACTTTTGTCAGAGGTCTACTTGTCTTCCTTTCATTTCATATCTAATATTTCTCCCTCAAGAAACTAGTAAGAGCCTCTGAATGCACATAAGTCAAACGCACCACGGTGTAGTTGTGTTCTCCTCCAGAAGAATGGAAAATCTTGTGAGTGGTGGTGAGGGTCGATGGAAGAGTCTGAGATTATAGTATAGGAGGAGCATGGGCTTCTGGAGAGCTCAGCATTGGGGAAGGTAACCAGGGCAGCAGGCTGTGGCACTCAACACTGCTGCTCTTGGTTTCCTTCAACTATACAAGGATTTTAAAAATGTCTTTTCTGGTGACCTCTGGGAAAGAAGAGAATAACACAAATGACAAGGAAGTAATATGTGTATAAGTAGCAAAGCATTATTATTGTTCCATATCAATGTTAGAAATCCATGTTCTGGCTCTCTGGATGTGAAGGTGTCACATCATGGAATTAATGAAGTTAGTGCAAATAAACTTTACTCATAGATAAAGCATGAAAAAGATCTGAGTTTTGTAGAAGTGAAAAAAGCCTTGACATTCGGAACATGTTCAGAGTTGGTAAGAACGGAAGAGTCTTCCCACTTGTTAGGAAAACTGGACAACAGCAGTGTCTTCTTCGTAAACTCAAGGCTACACACCAAATTTATCAAGCATTGTCACTGTTACTCCTTTATAAAATAAAAAAACCCACCAAACCAGAAGAACACACAAAAGCAGATCTATAGCTGTCCTAACACAGGGGACACTTGGGACAGAATACAGTACTTATGCAATCAGTTTACAAAACTATAATACATTACACAAAAAAGTTCTCATTTGAGGGGTAAAGCCCATGCAGAGAGCATTGCACATACTCTGCAATATTCCTTTTATCCTTTCATTTTCTTCACTTGTCCTTTATACACTGGACTTAATTACAATATTAGTTGACCCACCAAACTGAGACTCCAATCTGTAGCAAGGAGCAGTTCTTACAACTAGTTCTAGTGGGACTCTGAAGGAAATCAGCGAATAAAAAGAAATAATTTACTTGTTGGTTTAAAATTTATCTTAACACAACTGAGACTCACCGCAGAAGATGCTTTGCAGACATTCACTGTTGCAGCTCATCTTGACTGTATTACACACAACTTCAATGGTGCTTTTAAATTGGCAAAGGCAGCAGGCAGGTCGACTTGGTAAGATCCTGGAAATGGAAATAAAGACAGTTACAATAATGGTAAAAGGGTTACTTGACTAGTAAAATAAGGCCAAGCCACAGACCTAAGAATGATTTTTATTGATTGTTAATTTTTGTAAAAAGACATGGAGTGGAACAGATGCTCATGTGACTATGTCTCCATGTGTAATTCAATAATACTAGGTGCAGTTTTCACCATTCTTGTTGTCTCTACCCACTTTGTTTCACCAGCATTAAGTATTACTTAGATTTTCTGTTTCCTAAACATTTAATCTAATTTATAATGAAAGTTATCAATTTGATCTCAGCCATACAATCCTTTACTAATTTACCAAATTGTTATTTAAAAATTACTTCAGGGAATAATTTTGGTTTATGGTTTCAGGATTTTTCTCAGAGTGACATCTTTGAGGATTGCACTAATCTCAATAGGTTAAGCCTGTATTCGGTAAGAGTTTGAAATTCTGTTCAACAATTTATGTCATTTTGATCAGAAATCACCTCCTAACTCTTCGATCAAATCATCCTGGGATAATAGCCAATGGTTTCGTGGTAATTGAGGAAGTTGTACATAAAGGCAGTTAGATCAGCAATTCAATACCAGGAAGGGATTTTTGGGACGTATGTCTTGGCCAGTTGGATAGCCAATCTCTGCTCTTAAATATTGTAAAAAGTTCAAGAACAAGGAGATGTTCCCAACAGAAACATATGGTTGGCAGTGTGTATGCCTGTTAAAATAAAGGGATGTGGCAATGAATTGGGTGACAGTAATTTGTAGCATAATATAAAAGTATCTCCTCTCAGAACAATTTAATCAGGATTTGCAATAATGAACTCAAAGATGGCAATTGATTTATCTAATCTTGTTCCTGAGCTTGGTGTTACATAGTTATAGAAAATATCAGCACTTTTCATTATCTACTAATGATCATAAAAAGAGAAGATAGAATCTTACTACTTTGGATAGATTAAGTGAACAAGTTGGTTGAGTATGAGAACTTTTACTGTCTGGAGAGGGTCATCATCTCACCAACAAGAGAAGGGTCAACTGTGTTGGATGCTATGGGAGGTTGAGGAATGACTAAAGGATTTGACATGGTGAGGACAGTCAAGGAAGTGACCTTTCAAAAGTGGTTGGAGGAAGGTGCTTCCTCTACTCCCCCAGCAGCCCTGTGCAGAGCTCCAGAGCCTCCTCCCCTCCATGTGGCTGGAGCCAGAGGTACCTGTGGGTAGAGACACCAAAGTCCCTGGGACCTGGGGCAGCCCAAAGGTGATGAATAATAACTAGCTCTTTAAGTCTGCAATAAAAAATGGCCTGCAATAAAAGAACATTGCAAAAAAATGGGAAAGAATACAGAATGGGAAGAGTAAAAAAGTTGAAAATGTAGAACCTGAAGAATTTGTGGTAGAAAAAGTGTTGGACAGATGTTTAGTGGCTGAGAAGGTGGAATATTTCCTCAAGTGGAAGAGATTCACAGATGCCAACATACTTGGGAACCTGAAGAAAATCTAGATTATCCAGAATTGGTTGAAGCATTTCTGTATTCTCAATAAGCTGGTAAAGAAAAAGATGGCACAGAAGGGTAATCATTATCTGACAGTGAATCTGATGGTAGCAAATCAAAGAGGAAAAGGGACGCTGCTTCATCAGAGGTCTTGATACTGAACGAATAATTGGTCCCACAGACAGCAGTGGAGAATTAATGTTTCTCATGAAATGAAAAGATTCAGATAAAGCTGACTTGGTGCTGACAGAAGAAGTAAACTTGAAATGTCCTCAAATTGTAATTGCATTTTATGAAGAAAGACTACCTTGGCATTCTTGTCTAGAAGATGAAGTTCAATAATTGCATGTATTGCTATTTATACACACACACACACACAAAAAAAAATCTGGGACTTGGTTTTAGATTTATAAGGGAAGAAGGCCTACATTCTAATGGAAATCAAGGGTGTTTTTTTTTTCATTTTTGTTTTGAAGTAGTATTGGGGGTGTTATTTGAACTTTTTCTGTTTGGATTTTTTTTTTTACATCGATGAAATTAGTTGCTTGGAACAAATAAAAGCTTTCTGTAGTTGCATCATTTGTCAGAAAAATACATGTCATGGTATATAATTTCCTCTGCATTAAACTAGAGAACAGCTTTTCTAAACATCAGAAATTTTTTTCATAACCATTACTGAATCAGAACCTGTGTTTAACCCGTAATATATGCCTAAAGGCCATTCTGGAGTTCTGTTTTATTTGTTTTTGTGTGTATATTCATAAATACATTTGTAATTTTTATTTTCTTTCTCTTTCACCAAAACTATTTCAAACAAAAATAGCATTTCACAAACATGAATAAGTTGATGTTTCAGGATTACAGTCATTCTGATTGGCTGAAGGTATAGATGACTTCAAGTTAAATGGGAAAAAATTTTAAAACCATGTATTTTCAAATAAAATTATCTAATAAGTTGTACTGTCTAAAACATGTATATCAAAATCCCTGTCTGTCTATTCATATTTTTCTTAAAAGAAAAAGCTCAACCACTGCTAAATACTTTACCCAGGGAAGAAACGTAGCAAATAAAGGTGTGCTTTAACTGTTAAGTGGGCATCTGTTTCTTTTAGAGAGCTGCTACTAAGACAAGATACTTGTGCTGTATTGACTAAAATATCTTAATTCATGGAATGTCTGAGACTTACTGGTAAAAACCTAGTATGATGATTACAGATGTTGCAGTTTGCTGGCAATATGGGTGAACAACCTTGTAATCTAAACTACAGACCTGCATGATTTTCTTTACCCCAGCCCATTTGTTAAAATGAAGGTTGAATTTTTTTAGTATTTGAGTTACTGGTTCACCTGAAGCCAGTAAAAAAAACTTTAGTAATCAGAATGTTAATCCAACTGTATACTGTTTACTGTAAATAACTGAACAATTGTTTCATATTTCTTTTTTTTTAAAAAGTGGTTGGAGCAAAGTTCTAACACAAAGGCCTCTTTCATGTAAACCACCCCCCCTTACACACACACACACTTGACTTTAGTATAATCACACATCTCAACTTAGTTGGATGTACTGAAGAGCAGATGGCACAATTTAAGCTACAGTGACTAGAGAGGTTAGAAGGATAATTGATGTCTTTGCACTGAGGTGCTACAGAAGAATATAGAATATACAATGGATTGCGAGGAGACCAAACATGTTCATCCTAGAGATGAGAAACCAGGCTGCTTCACAGAGGGAAAGATTCTAAAGGCTCGTCTGACATATTCTGGGCATACTGCAAGGAGGGACCAGTCGTTGGAGAGGGGCATTATGCATGGAAGGGTGTAGGGACAATGTAAGATAGGAAGATGCTGGATAAGATGGATTGATTCAATCACTGGGGTATTAGGGGTGGTATGTCAGAGACAATAAGGTTGTAACAGGATAGAGCAGGGTTTAGGGCTGTTGTACATATAGGGTTGCTATGAGTTGCAAGTGACTCCACGGCACATAACAACAGCAATAACAACAAACTGTGTAATAGACTATCATGACAGGGCTTTGTAAAAATACTGTTTTAAGCTACAAATAAATATATAAATAAAAATTTCTAAGATACAAAAGCAGCACAAGCCATAATGTTTGTATAACCTAGAATCTCGAAGGAATTTCTCCTGTGTTTTGGCTTTTTTTCTCTCTCTCCCAGAATTTACATAGTTGTATAGCCTTTCTAATTAGGTTTGTGGTCCATTTTGAGTTAACCTGCATATATGACATAAGCTAAGGGCTGGGTTTATTTATCTATTTATTTGTAGTTTAAAACAATATTTTTCAAGTTCCTCAGAATTTAAAACTTCTACTCTTCAAAAGACACTTTCAGGAGAATGAAATGACAAACCACATCCTGTGAGAAAATGTTCATAACACTCTTATCTGAGAGAAAGATATGTATTCAGAACATAAAAAGCATTTTATAACTTATTAAGATAAATTATCCATAAAGAAATAGCAAATAAGCAGGTATCATCACCAGCTATTGAGAAATATTATTGCTCACCTGCAATTATATGACTGGGGGGTTTTGGTGGCTTGTTATTGCTGTGTACCATCGAGTCTGAACCGACCCATAGCTCACCCACTGGTGAGTTTTCAGAGTCAGTTAATTGCATGGGAGGAGATTGTCCATTTTTCTCCTGAGGAACTGGTGGAGTCAAACTGCAGGCCTTCGGGAAGGCAACACCGCTTCTTGCCACTAGGCCATCAGAGCTTGTGGCAAGGAATTTTGCTGCCGACCTAAAGGCATGTGGTTCAAATCCACCAGGTGCTTCTCTCGAGAAAGATTAGCAGTCTTCTGTGCAATTTACAACCTCTGAAAACCTTCTGGAGGGTCAGCTGTGAGTTGGTTCCAACTTGACGTGAGTAACAGTGACAACAATATATAGACATTATGTGGTTGTTTAGGGCTTTGAGTTGGAACTGACCGATAGCTAGGTATTAATAGTATTGGTGTATTTGCACGGAGAAAAACGTAAAAAAAATCTTTCTTGTAAATGATTTTCAACTTGGAAATGGTTGGCATTTTCCAAAAGATGGAAATGAAAATACGAAGTAAAACGTGTTCAGTTCCATCATTCATACTGTTGAGGATGCACAAAACGCTTTGCCATTTTGGAAAACAGTTTAGTGATATCTTTTAAAGTTAATTATGCACTGTATATGTGATAACAGAAATTTCTTTCCTATCCAAATGTAGAAATAAGCCCGTTGTCTATCAGCTGATGAGGGGGCAAACTGATATATTCATGTAACCGAAACTGTTGTTGTGTACTCTCAAGTCAGAACTGACGCACAGCTGGCCTTCCACAGGGTTTGCTGTGTACTCTCAAGTCAGAACTGACCCACAGCTGATCTTCCACAGGGTTTGCAGAGGTAGTAAATGGCACAGGAAGAGATTAGCCAGCTTCCTCCTGCATTGCAGACAGTGGATTTGAACCTTGTGACTTGTGTTGCCAGCCCAGCTCCTTACCATTACCAGAGCACTCTAGCTAATTATGGAATACGACAAAAAGAAATTAAATACTGGTAGATGTAGAAACATGCACACATCTCAAAAGGATTATGCTAAATGGAAGGAGATAAATTTAAAAGACTTAATAGATTTACTTTCTAAGACATTCTGGGAAAAAAGGCAAAACCATTAGGACAGAAATCAAGTAAGAGTTTACCATGAGAGGGCAGCAAGGGGTGGTGGATGGCAAAGAGGCACAAGGGGGCTTCCCAGGGTAATGGAATATTCTCATCTTGATTGATTGTTGTAGTCGATACTTAATTATATACATTTATTTATTTTTTTTATTTTTAAAAAGTCAGTCAAATTCAGCAGTCTGGTGTTGTGTACCAATTGTAGTTGCAATAAATGTTAATAGCTTCTGCTGACCCACTACTATCAGACCAGCCAATTGTATACATTACAATGAGAAGTCATTGAAATGTATATTTTAAAAGGGTAGGTGGCCTTAGTAGCAAGAAGCTGTGCTGCAAGCCACTTAGCAGGAGAAGGATGGGAAGTCTCCTCCTGTGTGATTAACTGCCTCTGTAAACTCACCAGAGGTTAAGCTATAGATTGGTAAATCAACAACAGCAAATTTAATGTAATTAGACTTCAATAAAATGACTTTTAAAGTAATTTTTAAAATAAAAAAAATCTTCCCACTTACGTTAAAAAAAAAAATCGAAGAAAAAAGAGACTTACAGATTTTGCAATTGAAGCATCACTGGGAGGATGTTCTCAACTGTCTTGAGGGACACTTGTGTTGCTCCCAAGTCTCTGAAGGAGAAAGCCCACATGTCCATAATATGAACATGATATGAACATAAAACTTCTCAACTTTAAAAGTACTTAACAACAGATAACTACTTCAATTTTGGGTTTTCTGTAAAGTAAACCAGACTAAATTATTTGCCACAGAAGTACTTCTAGAATATTCTTATTAAAGAAATCGTACATTATTTGCAGTATCACATTAAAAATATCTGCACAGAAGGGTATAATTTAGAGACTTTTACCATTGTCACACTTTAAATTTTCATGTGGCATTAATGTCTTCTGACTCTTTGTTCTCTTCTTGTAGAAAGACCATAATCTCTTCTTTTTTTAAAAAAAATTAATCCTATTTTTACATGTATCTGCAGGTACTATATCCCTGTGTTCTTCAACACTGCTCTCCTTTTGTCTTGACCAGTTCCATCCTTTAATAACCAAACTAATTATGACTTTTGACCCTAAATACAAAATATTTAATATTTGAAAAAAGTGAAAATGAAGAGCCATTTCAAGACTTAAAAGATTTTTGCAATACTTACAAATAATTTAATGATGGCAATTTATAAAGATATGGATCTTCAATAGTTGTCAGAGGGTTACGATTGAGAACTCTAAGGGAAGAGCAATAAAATCAAAATTATTTGCATTCTCAATTATTTCTGTGGATGTTGATATTCATTTGCAGGTGTTGGGGGGCAGAATGTATGGAACTTGTAGGAAAAAAACAACACTGTTTTCTGCATTTAGTTAGAAATCACCCTTGTTGTTGTTGTTGTTATGTGCCGTCGAGTCGCCTGCGACTCATAGCGACCCTATGTACAACAGCCCTAAACTCCGCTCTGTCCTGTGCCAA